CCCGAAAGACCTGTGTTTCGGGTGTAACATATTCATAATACTTAATTTTCACTGGTTAACAGCCAAATAGGGGCAAAAAGCGCTCACGGGTTGAGAAAAGAGGTTCATCGGCATCCTGGATCACAACTTCAAAGCGCTCTGCTAAGGTGCTATTTCATTCTTTAACCGCTAGAGCATGAATTGTGTCTGAAGCAGCACTATACTGTAACTTTGCTTATAAGAAATTAGTTTTATGCTGTAAAATTGGATTTTTTCCCTCCCCATATGGTGCATGAGATGGATGATATGCTGAAGAAATTAGAAAGGAGAAAAATTTCCTGAAGTAAAAGCTCATAATAAAAGGTGGCATGGAGTTTGATAAAAGGAGCCAAATAAAAACGTGAAGATGAGTAGAGGACACAGCTCAGAAGGGTCACTATTTATAAGCCAGATGACGAAAAATGGCTTCCTAGGCCTTTTGAGTTGACTAGTGAGATGAGCTGCATTATTCAAAGCTTGTGGATTGTGTGGCTCTTTATAATTCATTTTGATATTGATGCTAATTTTGATGTTAGGCCTGTATGCCCTCAGACTTGGCGTTTCCCCACATCCTCTGGTTATGCCCACTTTACACTGCGACACTTGCATCATTTGTAAATTTCTACATGACTTCTGAGCACCTTATCGTGTTTTTGTGGATAGTATTGTATAGTTGTACTCGTGATGATCTTATACATATATTTCAATTTGTGCAATATGAATCCTATTGTGCAGAGAAGCCTGTTGATGTGAATTAATGTGTCAGTATTGGTTAGCCTGACAGAAAAGAGGACAGACAAAACCACATGGTTTTTTTGCATCTGTTTTAATTCTGAAGTCTGAACTCATCTTTCGTAATATTTCAATTTTTTAATGTCTCAAAAAGCCTGCCATCCTCAATTTTACACTGTATTCTTCAGAGTCGGAAGAAAAAAGAGGATTCTTCAGCTGTGGAGGAGATGAAGAGTACTTCTGATACTGAAGATGAGTCAGAGGAAGAAGAGAAGGAAGAGAAAGAAGATGAAGAAAATGAGGAGAATGAAAATGGTGTTCCTGATAAATCGGAGGATGAGAGGCCAGAGAATTCTGCAAGTGAGGAGAAAAGTGATTCTGGTAATGAATCTGAAGATGAGGAAAAACCAAAGAAGACTACCAAAGCATCATCCCTGAAAAAAGAATCTTCCGCAAAAGCTAAAGCCACGAAAGTCACTTTTACTAATAAATCTCGTTCAACAACTAAGAGAGCACCTAAGAAATCAGCACCGATCCAGTCCAAAGTTGCTGATGATAGTGATGGAAGTCCAAAGGTCTTTTCAAGGAAGAAAAAGAATGAAAAAGAGGAAAAGCAGAAGCCTTCAACTCTGGCAAAGTCATCTTCCAAAGAGAAAACTGGTAAATATCATAAGCTTTCTTTTCTTTCACCAAAATTTTAGAAGTGTCCCAATTTGTGTAGATTTTATATTTTAGCAAACTATAAGATGTACCCAAACCGAATTAATCGGATTAATATTTGAAAAAAAAAAATACTAGTTTAGTGTCAATTGCTTTTAACCCATGTATGTAATGAAACACCCATCTGTTCATATTTAAGCAGAAAAGGTACTTAAGGGAAAGGGCAAGAACAAAGAGAAGTTGATCCCCAGTGACGAACAGTTGCGAGATGCAACGTGTGAAATCCTTAAAGAAGTTGACTTCAATACGGTAAGATGCTGATTTGAAACTGAGTGTAATTCAACCATTAAGTTGAACATATCTTGCGTCAGGTCTTGCTCTAGAAAATGAATAACTGAGTGTAATTCAACCATTAAGCTGAACATATCTTGCTTCATATAACTCTGCTTGTTCTAGAAAATGAATATTATTTTGAGTTGATTTATTGCTTGATTGCTAGTTGGGGCAGTGTCAACATTTTACATAACTGCTTGTGCAAACCCTTGACTAGTAGCCTCATCTCCGATAGGGGTAGTAGCAAATTGAAATATTTACTTATAGCGACATCTCCCGCTAGAAGTGTATGGATTAAGAGTGGATACCTAAATGCTCTTGTGCCTGCCTTTTCTGATTAGAATATTTGATAAATGATAAATTAGTTGTGAACATGATATTTGTCATTTAGCTAGACAAATGGCTTAATACTTGAGTACATGCCTTTAAAGCAGAGGACGCATGCATTTGTAAGACCATGCATTGGTTTGACATGCATGGTTTCTTCACTGTTGCTAGCGGAATCCACAAGGTGAGGTGTAACATTGGTGATCTGCATTGCTGTTACTAGATTTGCATGCTTTGTCATCATTGAAGATTGTTTTGAGCTGGAAATTTGTAGCAATTTAATGAACTTCCACCCCCGCCCTCTCTCTGCGTGCCAAGTACTGATATGTTGCCCTGAATTAAAACAATTCTCTTTTGCAGGCAACATTTACCGACATTCTGAAGCAATTAGGTGAGTGCCATTTATCGGTTACATTTATCAGATGGTTCATTTTTGTTTGCTTTTTTGTGGTTTGGACTCTGGACTTTTGACATGAACCAATTAATCACTGATCATTAATCAATCATGAATAATTTTGTAATCTGTATCACTTGATATCCCGGAGAACCTGTCCTGGAATGATGAATTATCTGAGATATTTAATTATGAGGACCTGGAGGGCGACTAAGAGTTCCATGACCTAAGATAACTGTAGTTCATGAATTGAAATTAAGAATTGGATTAAAAGGCGCCTTTTGTGCCTTACAAGTTCTGTGACTTGGTTTTCAGCTAAGCGGTTTAATGTGGATCTCACCCCAAAGAAAGCAGATATAAAGGTCATGATTCAGGAAGAGCTCACAAAACTGGCTGATGCGGCCGATGATGAAGATGGAGAGGAAGATGCTGAGAAAGATGAAACCCAGCCTATTGCACCGGCGGTTAAAGCATGACTGAGAATCCCATTTGACTGTTTGGAGATAGGCGTAATAGCAATGTAATTTTAACCACTGTTGGGTTTCCCGTGGTAGTTAGTCTTTTGCATAGTAAAAGCGACTGTAATTTATCTTTAGCTTCCAATCTTTGTCAAAATTTAGTGTAAGCTTTTGGTGGCTGTCAGGATGCAGCTTCTTGTGTACATCAACAGATTGTACCTATCGTTCATGTAACTGCTGACAAACACAGGTTTCAACAAGCTTGTCCAGTTTAATAAAGTATTTGACTTCAAAGTAATTACCTTGTGATATCAAAACCATTTGTATTGGAGTGACATAGTACTAGTATTTCATTCTCTCCCCCACGCGCGCACTATATGCTTTATCCTGATCTGTCTTTGCTCGCAGGCTGTCGTAAAATCATCTCTTGCATCCTTGTTGGCTCTCTTCATTGGCTTACCTAAGGGGGTAACTCTGCAACTAAACCAAGATGTTTCCTCACAATGGTGATATCAAATAATGAATGAGTAATGGATCAATTTAATAATAAAGATATATATGGATCTTATTATAAAAATATGCTTGTGAAATTTTTATTTAAGGCATGGACTAGTGGAACAAATGTAGAAGATTCCAGTTGACTCATTCATCCACTCAAACAAGTGGGGCACCAAGGCAATTGCCCTTTATTTGTGAGCCCCACATTGGGTGAGATTTTATGTTGAGTCAAATCAACCAGGTTAATGATCAATGGGGCCCAAGATTAGTGTAAGATGATGTTCAAATTACATGGATATCACTGAGGATTGACTAATTATCCCTTCCTAATAGCTCCTGTGTTTCAAGTCAATCCACCTGAATTTGGATACATTAATGCTTTTGATAGCAAGGTTCTTTTTCTTTCAGAAATAATAATAATAAAAAAATAGCCAATAAATAATATCACTTTATCAAATCACATCAATATAGAAATTAAAACTAGGACCCTTTTGGTGGGTGAACCACTTAGTACACTAATAATGGTTTAATAGTGTTGTTTTTGGCGCCATTCAAGTTGCTTGGATGCAAAGTCACTATGCATGTGACCACTAACTACATAACTAGTGCCACCATTTTTAATGAGTGCCTAAAAAGTCCCATATATCTCCTCAAGTGATTAGATTGTCTTTTCTGTGTTAATGAATGAATTAATTAATTAATTAAGTCTATATGGATAAGTTGGACGGTCATTAAGTAAATATCTATTTGGAACAATATTATAATTATCTTTGAACCACTTCTTGATTCATTTGAGTGTGGTACGAGGTTGGGAAAGTTGGAGAGGAAACTCCATTAAACCTTCGAAGCTATAGCCTCTAGGTCTATGATTTAATGGATCAACAGGTTTTATATCATTGAATATTGAATAATTAAAGGTTTAGAAAGAACAGTAGCTAAGATATTCTACATTATAAGAACTAATCCTAAAAAGGAAAATTTAGAAATAACAATAACGTGGTAAAAACTAAAATTACAAAGAAGTGCAAGACAGATTTTTTTTTTTTTGGTGACTTATCATCTATGGTTCAACATGGAGAATAGGGAAGAAAAGCCGAAAAGCCAAAAAGAAAAAAAAAAGTACTTTTCATTCCCTCATCAATTTATGATGGCAACCTTAAATTGATAACAAGCATTCTTGGTTGAAAAAGTTGTATGCATAGAGATAATGTTTGATTCTTAACATAAATTATTCTAATAAATTTATTATATGAACGTATAATTTTATCTTTAATTTAACATTATTACTTTTTAAATTTTTTTTTAAGTAAAACATGTATATTAAATAAGGATAAAATTAAAAAAATTAAATTTGAAGGAAAAATTAATAAATTTCAAAACTTTTGAGAACGTGTTAAGAAGGATGTTATAAAGATGGGGGGAGCAATAGCTGAAGCATAAAGGTGGGAGTGGGAGATGGCAATTCAATGGTCCAGATGGTTCAGTTCCCTCCACAGGACGCTTCAAAAATCGTCTCTGCATCCTCCTCACCCTTATCGACTCATTACGCTTCTCCTCCCTCCACGTGTCCTCCACCTAATGCCTTATTAATCCCCTAATCCGACGGACTCTGCTCACTCCCTTTCACTCAACTCTATTACTTCACTCCCCCCGCCGGCTCCGATCGCCGGCGTCCCCTCCCTCACCGCCCCACGTTTTCCGTCCTAATTATCCTGCTACCTCTTATATTGCCTTCCAACACCACTGCTTCAGCTCTCTGTCGCTGCAGATTCCCTCTCAAATTCGTTGAGAATTCCTTTCACGTCAACTTCGATCTTCCCCGGTCAACTGATCCAGAGCTGCTTCGCATTTGTAATTCATCCCGAACTTTCTTCGATTTCGAATATCCTCAACTGGTTTTCTCGGTCCATCAGCTGTTGACTGGGCTAGAACTCAACTCGAATTGCGCAGTTCACGAACTCCACAAGCTGACTTGGTGGTAAGGTTTTACGCTGAATCGAACTGATTCGAGTCCGATTGGGTTGAGACGACGATGGCGGACTCGGATAACGATTCCGGAGGGGCGCAGAACACGGGAGCCAATGCAAACAGCAGCGAATTGTCGCCGCGAGAGCAGGACCGGTTCCTACCTATAGCGAACGTGAGCAGGATCATGAAGAAGGCGCTTCCGGCGAATGCGAAGATCTCAAAGGACGCGAAGGAGACAGTGCAAGAGTGCGTATCGGAGTTCATCAGCTTCATCACCGGAGAGGCCTCCGATAAGTGCCAGAGGGAGAAGCGGAAGACCATCAACGGGGACGACTTACTCTGGGCGATGACCACGCTGGGATTTGAGGACTACGTGGAGCCACTCAAGATTTACTTGCAGAGGTTCAGGGAAATGGAGGGAGAGAAGAGCGTGGTGGCGGCGCGTGACAAGGAAGGAGGTGGCGCTTCCATTAGTGCTTTTGACGGCAGTGGCGGGGTGTACGGGGGTAGCGGAGGTGGAATGGGAATGATGATGCATCAAGGACACGTGTACGGATCTGGTGGCTTTCATCAAATGGGCGTTAGTGGTGGTCCTGCTATGGGTAAGAGCGGGCCAACTTATCCGGGTCCTGGATCTAATTCGGGCAGACCCAGATAGATCAAAGGTGTGAACCAGTAGCTTATAATATCCTAATACTAGCCTAGATTTTAGGATTGCTCTAAGTTATTTAGTGCCTTCTTTGATTGATAAATTTATTAATCATTAGATTAAAATCAGAAATAAAGTGGGAAAAAAAACAGAGAGAGAATCCAATGATTAATAAATCCGTCAGTTTGAGAAAGTGTATTAAGACTGATTCTAATGTGTTAGGGTGATTTGGCATTATTATGTAAAGACAAAAAGATCTTTAATAGTTCCTCCCTGTAATTCTCGTGTTGAACAAATACTGCTTCCTCTTTTTTGAAGAATTAACCTTAGCCGGAAGCCCAGAACTTCTGTACTTGTGTTAGTGTTCTTTGATGATCTTTATGCTTCGATTTTTTTAAATTTATTTCTCATACAAGGTTACGATGGAAAGCTGGAGATAATGTAAAATATTAATATTCCTTCCGGTTTATACAAATAAATAATCGAATTACACGGATGAAATAGTTTATTCAAATTCAAATTAGTCAGATATAACAATCTACTAAATGAGGGCACTTCTTCTAGTGGGGATTCGACTTTAGTTCGTCAAGTTGTGAAAAACTAATCCTTTCCACTAGACGCTAGACTCAACCCTCGGTGAATTATAGTTTCTCTTGTAAGTAAATGTCCGGAAACACAACAAGGGTGTGTCATATTTTGGGTCAAAACTATGCATGCACATTGGGCTAAATAAATGGGGACTAAGAGGGTATTTGGGCACCATAAAAAGTGCTTCTCAGAAATATTTTTTCGTAAATCAAGATAAATTCTTACACATATTTATTTCGTATACTATAAAAGCATTTTTAAAATCATGATTTTGATTCTATCCAAACACCTTCTAAAATGGAGATTCAAGAAGGACGAGAACAAATCTAATAGTTGTCCCCATTCCAATTGGGACATAATGGAAGTACATTTATGCATTACTATATTTGCAAAAGACTTCACTTGCAGAAAATCCTAGGAATCACAGGATGCCTCCATTTCAGATACGAGGCTGAGTTTTAGATTGCGCAAAAGTAAAATTGATTTACCAAACATATAGGCCAGACATCGTTATTCTCTCTCTCGTTCTCTGGTCGAAAAAAGTCTGAAATTTGATAAGCTAGAATCCTTAGAATCCTAACCCATATATACATGTCAAAATCTCACGACCCAATAAACACCAAGCACTTTTGCTAAGACAGAATTAATCGCGAGGTTAACATTTCAAACCCTGGATAACGGTTACGTGAGGTGTGAATGACGGGGAAAAAATGCTGACCTATGCATCAAACGTGCGTATCCTAAATCGCTTGCTTGAGTTTTGCACGGAAGTCACGTAAATGCTAACCTGGGTGATCTCACATGCGTTAAACCACTAATATAAGACTCATATGTCTTTCATATAAAATAAATAAAAAATATTAGTTAAATTAGGCAATATGATACTTCTTTAGTTCTTAGAGGCTGCTTAGAACACATCAAAAGTACTTTTAAAAGAATACTTTATTTTGCAAATCAAACAAATTTTTTTTATATATTTACTTGGTATATCATAAAATCACTTTTAAAATCATAATTTGATTTTTATCCAATCATCCTCTTAATGTTGGACTTAATTGTTAAATTTGTTTCAGTACAATACCCATTTATCATATTTATAAATTTTTTATAAATTATCGCTATTAATACTTTTTTCACTATAACCAAGTAGAAAAAAGAGTAAGAATATTAAAAAACATGATTATGATGGTTAGAAAATACATCATATTTCTTATAATTAACTTACTTACCTAATTTTTTTAATTTAATCAAATTACTTAAATACGTTCACATTAAACATTCAAGGAATATGTTCTTTCTAAAACACCTTTATCACCTTCCTTGACTTCCTCCCCCTCTCTCTTACTATATTATTGTCGAGGAAATATCAATACTTGATAGGATTAATTTGAAGAAAAAAATTGACAAAATAGATCTTACATAAATAACCAAAATGGGTAAATTACAATTATAATTTATAAATAAAACAAACAATTAAAAAAACGAATACCAAAAAAAAAATTCAAATGAGCTATCTCCATCAAATTATACCACCACGGCAAGCCATAGGCTTACCAATTACCATACAGCATATTCAAACGCATTATATTTATAATATGCTAGGTCAATGCAAAATACAACACACTTTACTAGCTACACGGCAATGGTCCTGTTTTTTTTTTTTTTTTTCCAGCTACAGCTCAGTCAATCAGCACACCACGCATTCAGTCTCAATGAACATGGGAGACATTTGTGACAGAAAGAAGAATGATAGAAATACGCAAATATAACTGAATACAACAAGCACTTATTGGACCAGTCAAATCGCCGAAACTCAAGTGATTAAAACAGCTACAATAACATTTCCAATGAATGAACAATCCGGCCAAATGCCCCCACTAAAAACTAACTCATCCATATAGCACAATCTGAATGCATATAGATCATCGCCGCTTAAGTTCAGCAAAATATCACCACACAACTTCATAAACGCTTGGATTTCTAAAGAAAATCAATTCATACATACACGTGCTTGTCCATCGAAAAAACCATTCAAAATTTCAAATCAGGAAAGCAGATTCAGAAAAACCAAGGAGATGAAGAGTAAATCTTGTATAAAGAGAGAAAAAAACATAGTCCTTAGAAGGGAATAACATGATCATGAAAGATCTGACTTAGATAAAGATCCCAAGTATTTAATCCACGAATAAAAACAAAACACGTGAATTCCCCCCCCCCCCCTTAACAGATCATCATCACCTGACTGATCACTTGGAAAGCTTACCGTACATGTTAAGTTTGAATACAACTACTACAATAACTTTTCCTAAATACACAAAAACAAATTCTCTTCAAGAAACCGTCCTGGTACAAAACACCAAAAATGAAGAGTAGCAACATAATAAATTTGCTCTCCAGTCTAAACAACAGCTGAGACTCTCTTTTACTACAGTATACAAGATAAAACCATAGGACAGAACTAAAGAAAGACTGGACAAAAGGAATATATCGTGAAAAAATTACATCAATATATACATGACAGGATGTACAGTTCTCTGGTTATGAATGATTACAAAAATTGAATGGTTAGCCCTCTACATCGTATACAAAAATCGCATGCTCATCCGTGTGGTATACTAACAAAGGTTGGGGGTAAAACACAACAACTGGGAAGAAATGATACAACAGCCAGCAAATCAGAAAAGGCACATTACAAACATCCTCAGCTAAATCCTAATACATCAATCATACAAATAGTTCTAAATAGTCTACCACATGTCATACATTAAAGTTCAAAATAGTCTACCACATTTCAAACTTCCATAAGTTCAACCCAATACAACAACGTTGGTTTATCATTTGAACTAAACATAAATCCAAAACAAAAGCTAATAACTTCATAGCAAATGTTCCACTTTTCAATGTAGGCAATGGATTGTCATGACTTGTCTCTTCGACACTCAACAAGGTCCACTTGATCTCCGAAGCAAGACTGAGATTGAATGAACAGCTTCCTTTCCCAATACAATTGTCCCTAAATAACAGAGAAACCCACAACAACGGTTGGAATTCAGAAGACATTAAGAATAGGCTACAACGGTACATTTCACATAAAAGTAAGAAGAAATACTGTCCTCCCTGCTTGGTAAAACAGCAGTCATCAGATCTAAAAGTCGTTCTTTTCGCCTAATGCACAACCCCTCATGTTTCTACAATTCCATGCCATCAAAGCAAGCTCGAATATGTATTCTAATTTTTTTCCTCAATTGTAAAAGCCAAAATTTCATCCCCACGCCCAAAAACTCATTTTCAGCTACATTATTTCTGAATAAAGCGAAGTTATAAAACTGTGTCTCAAATCTCAAACAGAGTCCTAAGCAAAACCATGCAGTTAGATATTCCGTGTAGGAAAAAATCAGACAGATTTTCCATACATTACACCGAAAAAACATAATGTTAAATAAACTCAAACATTATAAAGCAAGCAATTCTAAAATATCAATTGCCTTTAAGTTTATGTAATCTCAAATTTTAAGTTTATCACCAAAACCTGTAACTTCTACTCCAAAATTTTAACCATTGCTACATGAACAAAAAGATAACTAAATTCACTCACATATATAACATATAATCAGCAATAGATCAGCAGCAGGTAGTGCCCTACACATATTAAAACATCAAGCTGAATAAAGAGAGTGTGAAGAAAGAGAGGGAGTGAATTATTAGGGCAGGGAGCTTTTTTTTTTTTTTTTTTTTGGGAGGGGGGATGGCAGCTGCATTTATATGCATGGCATATACATATTAAGGCTACGTAACCAGGTTTTAATATAGAAATAGCCAGATCCATAAATACATTCCTTGAATTCTCTTACTAAGAAGAAAACTACTCAAAGCTTTTTGAGGTGGCATACTAAAACCCATTTAATCACTGAAATGCTTGAAATATACATATCATGGCTACAGAACAAGATTAAAATATATGCATGGCTGAATCCACGTATAGGTTCTATCTTGATTAACCAAAGAAAATTATTGAAAACTGCAATGCTATTGGTGGAATGATAATAATAATTTTCATTTAACCAAGAAATCAACAGCCGTCTGGGCTAAACCAGAGGTTATTCATTCACTTTCAGAAATCAGGGCTAAAACTATCTCATCAACATCTTCAACATCAACAGCAGAGGCATGAAAGCAATACACACAACCTCATATGCCAGTATCATGTAGGCAAAAGTGGTAATGAGCAGAATGAAGGAGGCTTGATCATAAACTCTATGCAGGCTATGGATATGAAAATTGAAAAGAAAAATTCCAGAGAAACTCAAGCAGAATTTCAAGAAAAGATTATTAGAACCATGAGTACAGATAAAAACATAAAATAACACAAGGCAAATTTAACAGGATATTCAAAACCATCACATGCACTATCAATTAATATTTGGTTCTTACTGAATCTATATATAATACCCCAACAAGTTATGCCCACTTTAAGGTTGCCTTTGGCTCACACATCACTTATTTGATTCCACGTTCAGATTAGACAAACAGAAATCTGTTTATCAAAGAATCAGTATTAAAAACACGACCAACTTCCATGCTCAGTAAATACAGTACAAAAGCTTAAACACAGATAACAGTAGTTTCTTCTAGTTTGCGGCTATCAGTTGTTAAAATAATAGTTTTGGCTAAATCAGCCTTGCATCAAAGGAGTAGTCCACCAAAACTAGACACGCTATTTATATTTAAGTATTGAGATGGAGAAGGGCCAGATGGAGAGTAAAGAAAAGCATTTAACCCAAATTAGCTATATCATATGCTTATCTCAGCCCAATGCATAATTTACCCGTGATATGTACAAAGTATCACAAACAATAACAAGTTGAAGAATGAAGAATAAATCTGAAATCTTAGAACAAACCTTTCTCACAGAAGTACAAAAGCAAGCTTCAGATGAGAGGTACACAGAACAAGAGATTGAAACAAAACAGCTGCTCAACAACTTCTGGACTGGAGGAGTGCAACCAGAGTCAATCCAACCATGACAAATCCTTAATTTTCAGCTTCTGTTCTATTCTTCCTCAATGGAAAGTTATCCCAAAAATACTAAAAATATTAAACATCATATTAAGTTACTCAGATGTAAGTCGTCGCCTCTTCCCATAATCAGCATCCCTAGATCTAGAATGATGATCGTCCTCTTGGGATAATCTTGATTTGCTGTGAGTCCTTGATGACCTTCCCCGCTCCCACTCATCCTCATGGTCTGCTTCACGATCTCTGTACCTATGATGGTCAGCATATCTGTCCCTTTCTTCCTTGTACCTATCACGTTCACGGTCTCTTTCACGATCCCTATCACGGTCTCGGTCACGGTCTCGAGACCGTTCACGGTCACGGTCACGCTCCCTATCACGTTCACGACCTACTTCTCTATCATCACGGTGTCTTCTTTCAGACCACTCATGGTCCTGCCCCATGTCTTTTTCTCTAGGTGCATCTCTCTCATATCCTGGATCTCTATCATCCTTGTACCTTCGTTCAGAGGAGCCAGACCAGTCCCTTTCTGATCCTCTATCTTTTTCCCTCATGGCATTCGGCCAACCACCTCTATCATGACTCACCTCACCATACTGATGTTCTGATGCAGCTTCCTCACCATAACTAGACTCTCCAGCCCTCCCACCACCATGCTCTTCAGCACCCCATCCACCCATACTTGGATCTGACCACATTCCCATATTAGGCCCATCAACTGTTGAAGTGGGCATCATCCCCATACCATTCATGGGCATCCCTCTTCCAAAAAAGGCTGGATTAACATGAGGTGCCACTCCAGGCAAACCAACACCTCCAACTGCCGGGAATGAAGGCAAAATGCCAGAGAATGGAGGAGTTGGAGCACCTGGAAAGCCTCCATAGCCACCCATTCTACCCATAGGCCCTCCAAATGCAGGATCAAAACCCTGATTCATCATTGACTGAGGATGCAACAGAGGCGGGGTGGCACCAATACCTTGTCCAAATCCATTGCCACCATTACCCATGATGCCTCTACCCCCCATCCCACCACCTCTATTCCTCATTGGATTAACAGGACCCCTATTTCCCATACCAGGATTATTCCCTCTCCCCCAGTTACCTCTCCCATAGCCTCGATTGCCATCTCCACCTTGGTAGTTCCCACCTGTAGTAATGTTGTTCCCACCCGTCTTAGCCCCTGAATCAGCAGGTCCTCTCCTTGCCTGAGAAGTAGTAGATTGGGCCATCTGTTGATTCCTGCTGACCTGAGCCTCTCCCATTCTCTTGACAGTAAAAGGAGAAGCAAAAGCAACAACGCATGGTCGCCCATTAAACATATGCCCAGCCATTCCTTCTTTACAGGCAGATGCAGCAGCAGGATCATAAAACTCAACCTGGCAATACCCTTTTGATTTCCCACTAGCCTTCTCATCAAAAAATTTCACCTCCTTCACTGGCCCATACTTACAAAGTTCTGCCTCCAACTCAGCATCAGTAGTCCACCAGTGTAAATCACCAACAAATAAAATGGTGCCCCCACCGCCACTTCCACCACCACCAGGAATAGCAGCTCCTCCTCCAGTGTTGACCACATTGACACCACTCCCATTATTCCCAACCCCATTGCCACCAGTTCTATTGAGATTTCCTCCTCCACCACCTTGCCTCATCAAATTCTCATTCCCCACGTTCCCAACAACTCCACCATGATGTTGCTGCCCCATGCCTTGTACTACCACACTGTTATTAGCACTCTGCTCCTCTATCTCATTCGACTTGCCCGGTTGTTGCCCTAATTCAACCCTCATCCCACCTCCAACACCCATAGAGGTACCCGATCCACCACTACCTTTCACAACCATCTCATTTCCTCTAAACCCTTGATTTTGAATCCCATCTGCTCGCCCTGGAACCCTAGACGCAGCATCCATAACCCCGCGGCGGCAGCCTCACCGCCAGTACCACCACCACCACCACCGACACCGACACCCGGGATAGAAACACCACCAGTTTCCGGCGGCACGGCGGCTGATTGCGTCTTTTTCTCCTCAACCTCCTCATTCCGAAGCCCGGAATCGTCGTTCTTTCTTAAAGACTGAAGAAAACCTTCCCCAACATTAACGTCGTTGTAAAGGTCCTCGTAATCGTCGTCCTCCTCGGCCAAAAAACCCTCATCAGCTACAGCTGATATCGCTTCATTGCGATGGAACTGATCCATCGGATCCCCACTCTCACCGTACCCTCCCTCACCTTCATCCATCGCACTCTCTTCACTCTTCCCCGTCCCGTTCGCCTTCTTCTTTCCCCCAGAATAATGATACTATTGCAGCGAGTAATTCTTGATTTTTTTATAAATCAAGAGGAAACATTTATAGTTGATTAAGCAGTGCAGCGAGAGTGCGAGATCTTACCAGCTAACGAGAAAACGACGAGAGGGTACCTGTGCGAATGAGTCAGACACTCACAAACCCTAATCTGGAATCTCGCGACGAAATTCGATGTCCCAGTTCTTTTCTCTCTCACCTTCTCTCTCCCTTCATAAAAGCCAACTCTTGGGATATTGCTCGCGTGCCCCTTTCTTTCAATGTATGCTCCCTTTGTTTCTCTTACTTTCTTTATTTTGCTATTTGCCCCTTATCCCTTCTTGCTGAAGTCAGGGCAATGTACATGCCTGCGCTTGAAAATTCAGATGCAACTTGCTCACGGGAAAAAATAGAAGTGATTTGTGTAAGCTTTTAAAAAATTTAATCAAATTATGTTTCATATTATTTTAATTTTAAAAATTAAAATATTTTTAAAAAATTTGTGTTTATTTAAATACGTATCTAGGATTCATTTTTTCTCGATAATAAAGCATGGTTTGATTAATAATAAACATATTTTATTTTTTTTGACAATAAAAGTGGTTAACCAACTATTAATGATAGAAACCTAATGAAAAGGTTGTTACTCCTGAGGGGGGGAAAAAAATAGCTTCTTAAGACATGCATGGTTAAAGGGAACAATAGGAATTATGCTCTTAAGGAACCTCCTAACTCTCCCTTTTAAATTTTTTTAGATATTATTAATATACTTCTTCCTTTTTCCTTTTATTAAACCAAACAAATTGTTTATCTTTGTTTCAAGCTTTGTGGATTTAAACAAAATAAATTTGAATAGTTTCTTCTTCAAAGTAATATATATAAAGACTAATGATCTTAAAACTTAATAACATGAAAATACTTTGTAAGTAATTAGGCTATGGGTTTGATTCTCACTTGTAATGTTAAAGCATTAGGTTTGGCCTATTCAAATGCAGCCTAATCCAAAAAAATGAGTAAAAGATTACAATAATAAATTAATATTACTCATTGACAAAACCATAACTACAAAAATATAGTCCTTGAGAAAATAGTATCAAGACAAAAATAGCATTCCCCAGTATTATAAATACTTGTGCATTGTTTTTAAGTTTTTGACAGTATTAAGTTAATAAATCAATTCAAAATGTTTAGCAAAGATCGAGAATTTTCATGAAAATCATCAAGGTAACTCATTACACACGAATGTATCATAAAAAAACAACATGATAAAATCAAAATCAATGTTTACAAAAAGTTTTTTTGGGAAAAAAAAAACATGCATATATACTTCTATACACACAGAGTGAGCCAATGTACGATTTAACCTCGATCTTTAGTGTCCAATATCATTTGATCTATGAAGCCAAGTTGAGATGCCATGATGATATCTACCAGTTTGGTTGAACATTCCTACTCAATAATGCTTTTGAGTAGGAAACAAATTAGGAATCTCAATATTACTTTGATTGGTGCATACGATTGCCTTTGTTGAGGATGACCATTCCATTATTTTGAGGGAAGTAGCATTCCAGAGGGTCCTAATAGAAAACAGTTGGTTCTTGGAATGATTTTTCTTTTTTGGCTGGAGATTGTGTTCCTACTTCCTAATAGCCTTTCACGAGTCCAAAATTACCTTATAGGTTATAGCCCCCACCTTCTCCCTTGACCAAGTTCCTCCACACCAACCCGTGAACTCAAATGCCGACAGAGCTTCAAATGAGGATGTTGCTGGCTTTTATTGTATGATTTATTACCTTGGATTTTTTATATGAGAGCTAGATAACTAATTTGTAAATATTAAAAAAATTAGTTGAATTAACTCTTTATAATAAACGGGTGATATCTTTCCTAAAACATTCTTATTAATCATGTGTATTAAAATAGAACCTTTTTACCGTATGCAATCACCGTATAGACTACTTTGGAGAAAAATAAATAAATACTTCTCCCGTCCTAAATATAAGACCCATTTTATAGTGTAAATTACACTACAAAATGGGTCTTATATTTAGAACCGAAGGAGTATGTGATATAAAGTAGATATGAGTCTTATATTTATAACTAAATTGAATCTCTAGCTAGTTTTTTTTACAACTAAATTGAATATCTAACTAGCATTTTTTATTTAGCACAAGAGGTAGTAGTATGTTTTTAGCAACACAATTACACAGGGATATAACAATGAGGACGTTTGATGTATCTGGTTCTAAACTTCTGGCCTTTTACAGATTTGTTGCTGTCATTCCTTAGTTCTTTTTTTTTTTTTACCCTCTCTTTCCTGCCTTTTTTTTCATTAAAAAAGTTTAGATGAGTTATGTTTTGGAATCAAGACATGCATTCAGGCTTAGAAAGTATTGATAAAGGTATTTACAAATCATTTATCAATGAGATTTTTATATCAGCGGAGAGATTCAAACTGACAAATTCATCACTTATAAGCCAACTCACTCAATACTAGATGCACCAACTCTTGCCATATGCGTTGTGATTCATCACTTTGCATTTTTAGATTATCATGGCCTGCTTGGACTTAGGTATCCCATCATGGGCAGCCCAACTCAAAAACAATTTGTAGAGCCCAACATCTCTATCCTTGTTAAAATTTGTTGATAAACCAAAAATATGACACATCACGAGTAGCCTTCTCAGTAAACTTCTCTCAGGAACAATCTGTCAGTAGACACACCATAAGTGGCACATTGTAAATTTACGAAATTTTTGGGGGGAAGAAATAAGCAATGAGTTTTTTCTCTGTTTTTTTGGCCAACAAATAAATAAGCAACCCGATGAGTTAAATTTTACCTTTTAAAAAAATTTTCAAACTGAGTCAATGATGTTAAATAATCAGGAATTGCTAAGACACCTCTTAACAATCATTAGGTCTGTTTGGTATGAGAAGAAAACGAAAGATAAAGAAAAAATTTTAATATGCTTATTTTAAAAAATTAAAAGTAGTGGGATTAAAATTTTTGATTATTTTAATTACTTTTTTATCTTAAATTTTTTCTTTATTAAAATTTTATAACCCCACTTCTTCAATTTTTTAAAACAAACTCATTAAAATTTTTTTCCTCCTCCCTTTAATTTCACTCATTAATGGCAAGGAATTCTGATTAACAATGGACTCAAAAGTATAATTTTTTATATCTTTGATGTTAGGCTTATTAATTAGACTAATGTAAAAATTTCTTTGAAAGATTTTGCGTTTGTTAAGTTTTTATTGAAAAATTTATTAACAAGTCTAAAACAGAGACGCATTTATCAGTATTGTTTGTGCCAAATCCAAGGGGTCCGATTTATTTTTTAATGAAAAAGGTGTCAGATTAACCTTAACCTATTGTTCTTTGATCCTCCCAAGTAACGGCTACTTCACCGGGAAATGCCGGTGAACCACCGCAACGGTCAAATTTCTTTTCAATACTAAGCTCCGAAGCATCACAACGCTCTCATCTCCCTCTCCTCTTTCTATATATGTCATCTCTTCCTCGCACACATCTTCATCGGACCAACATTCTTTTCCCACAAAGTCACTTCTTTCATCGAATCCGCAGATTTCTGCCTAGTTTACTTTCCACTTCTTCCATCTCTCAAAATAGTCTGAAGATGAATAGATTGCTTCTTCTCTTCGTACTTGCTCTGTTTGCTTCCGTTTCTGTTTCTGTAGAAGGAGACAATGCACCTTCTCCTTCACCGAACTCATCATCTAATCCGCCCCGCCGGGGACGGCATTGCCGCCCTCTCCAGCGTCTTCTCCGAAGAAATCTCCCCCGTCTCCTAAGCAATCCCCTGCAAAGTCTCCGGCTTTATCGCCGCCTTCGGCAAGTCCGACCATTTCTCCATCTGGGTCTGCCTCGTCGCCGGCTTCAACCCCTTCCGCGAACTCCCCTTCTTCGGTGTCTCCGGCTTCCAGTCCGTCTTCGAATGGGTCTTCTCCGTTTCATCCCCGCGTTCTCCTTCGCCGACGGTTGCATCGCCTGTGGCTACCCCGGCGGCGACTCCAGTGAGCAGCCCAGTCGGGGCTCCTCCAGTGGCCGAGGGACCTTCCACCGCGGCAACTCCTGAGTCTTCTGCAAGTATTCCTTCGAGTTCGGAAACACCATCGGGCTCACCAGTAACCCTTCCGTCAAGCAGAAGTTCACCGGTGATGGCGCCGGCGAGTTCATCTCCGGAAGCGAGTCCGGCAAGCGATGAATCGGGTGCAACTTCAGCATATGGGTTTTCGGTTATTATGTTTAGTGTGGGCCTTTTGTTTTGCTCCGTCCTGGTCTTGTGACTGTGAGGCAGGGCAGTTTTGGTCATATATCACTCTGTTTTATTTACTTTTTAATAATTGTTTTTCTGTTTGTATTTGTTGAACAAAGTCCTTCCACTGATTCAAGAATACTTATTTATTTGATTCAATTCTTATTGTGTATTAATTTTTATTTTCCTTTTCTTTGCATATTATATTGTCCTTCAAGCATGAGTTTCCTGCAGGCTGAATTTAATCATATCAGATTGAAGGGTACACACCATGAACAGTTACATGAATTAAATTTATCATTTATTATCTAATTAACTTGATTGATATTTTCCACTAATTAATAATTTCATAATTTAAAAATTATTTAAATTAAGTTCAATCCATTGGCCAAAGAAAAAGAAAAAAAGTCCAATCCAGCTTATTGTATGGGGAATCCATAATTTCACCATACGCGCACCGGATTCATAGTTAAATCTTGATTTGGGGGAATTAAGCAATTTTTTGTTGCTAGTGGAAGTGAAGATTCATAGGTATCAATTTTATGGTTGGAAATTGGAAAATCATTTCCTTCACATTTGTTAATAAATATATTACGTCGTGGTTTAATGCATTTGTTATAATATCAACATCATTAATCCGGCTACAATTCTGAACAAGTTAAGGAGCAATTGGGTGTGGTGAAGCTAGCATTAAAACTGTGTTTGATGGTCACTCAAATTTAAAAAATTTATTTTTTCTAAACCAACATTTTTGGTATTACATTTGATGTTATACTAGTTTTTGGTACTCTCAAACTAATATTTGATATTATACCAGTTTTTAGTACTCTCAAATTAATATTACCTTCCGTCTTTAATATAAGAGTTAGTTAAT